TTACAAATCACTCTGGTAATTGCTCACGGACCTCCTGAAGGCAGCAAGGGCAACAACAGCTGTCACACCTTAGTGGTCTCTCCAGAGTTATAACTTCTTGGCCCATATTATCAATAATCCTCATGGTAAAAGGCCGAGAAGCCCCACAGCAATTCCGGGTACAGCAGTCTGTATCCTCTACTGCAAAGTAAATCTTCTGTCCAAAGCTGTTCTTAATTTCATATTTGTTATTAGTTTCAAAACCTGTTATGACTAAAAACATAAAAGAGGGAACCATTATGACCATTATATAAAAAGAATGTTGGATCTATCCTAAGATCCTACAATATGTAGTTACACCATTTTTGGATTATACTTCTAGTAAAACAGGGAGAAAGAAAAGGAAAGGTGTTTAGCGATGATCTAGACAGAGGAAGAAAGGGAAAGGGAAAGGAGAGTCTGTTAAGGAATAGAAATTAAGCATCTGTATGTGAAACATGGGAAAGAAAACAACTCAAATGTTCCTAATTGCATAGACTTCTTCCAGAAAGACAGACTGCTCCTAAGGGATGGAGCAATGCTGTAGATGATAATAGTTGTGCTAGGTGTATGAACAAAACATCCATCTGTTTGCTATAGTTTTCTTATATTCAGTTATGTAGGGGAATATGAGATGGTTGCTATGTTTATCCTCTATGATATATTTTATCAAATTAATTGGTTTGAGATTATATATTTATGTATACACACACACCCTATGCATGGCTTATCTTTTTTTGCACTGTATGAGGGAAAGTGATGAGAGGGCTTGCTCTTAATGCATACATGTAGGAAGGGAGAGGGTGAAAATGGAAGGTAAATTAGAACATCACATTGGGCCCAGAGGACCCTTGTTTAGCTTAGCGGTAGTTGTTCAGAAGTGGGAGATGAATATTCGACAAGGGGAAGAGGTGCTTGGCAACCAAGGTTGCCACTCACAGGATATCTAGACCAGTGGCAGCCTAAGTGAGCTCTGTACCTCAGAGGGGGCTAATGTCTTCACAGGGAAACATAAGTATGCTGGATGCGGACGCTCAAGTGGTATCTTACCAATGGGCTTCCCATACAGAACCACACATTGCAAACCTCTCCTTGCTTAGAGCCAGGAAGGAACAATTAATGGTCTTGCTTGTCTATAATTCTTCTTAACATGGGTCATAGCAGGTCAGAAGCCACGAAAATAACGATTAAAAGATATACAGAGAGACAAAAATCACTCTCTAATATCTGAGTGATTGACTTTTAGTCAGATAGAGATGTCCTCCATAAATTCCATCATCTTGACCTCCCTTCAGTCCCTTTGCTCTGGCTCAGACAGGCTCTGGACTCTTCCTTTGTAAAAAACACCCTTGACCTGCCAGTTAAATGTTATGCGAGAAAAAAAATACACTGATTCATAATATGGAATTCAATTATCTAAGTGTTTTACTAAGTAGCTTAATCTCAAAATTCTTCAGCTTGTTCATCTATGAAATGAGATCAATGGGTTTATACAATCTCCAAGTTACTCAAAAAATGAGAATAAAACAAAAGAATTCTATGGCTATCATTGTTTATAAAGTTCTGAAATGGGAACTATTTAAGTGCCTGTCATAGACTCAGATGCTAAAAATAAACGGATTAATCTTCATCGCTCTTTAAATTTTTGTTTAGTTTTGAGAGAGAGAGGGAGGGTGTGTTCATGCAAGACTGGGGGAGGGGCAGAGAGAGAGGAGAGAGAGAAGTCCAAGCAGGTTCTGCACTGTCAGTGCAAAGCCCAATGTGGGGCTCGAATTCACTCTGAGATCATGACCTGAGCAGAGATCGAGTCCAATGCTTAATGGACTGAACCACCCAGAGGCTCCTAAGCTTTGTATCTCTTTATCCTGTCATAATGTTACAATATACACTTTCATTGAGACAAGAAAACAGGACAATTAAAGACATCTCTTAAAAAAGAGAAGAATTAGTAACTACTAAATTTGGAGCTTACTTTATTTACATTTCATGATTAACACATACAAATTTCACAAGTATATATAAAACTAACACATTTAAAAACTATAAATGGAGTGCTATATAATGTACAGTATCTGTTTTGTTTTGATGTCATAACCTCAAAAACAAATTTCTTAAGATAAAGCATTACAAAATTCAGGGCACAAGTTATCAAACAAAGAACTCCTTTCTAGAGAAAGCTTAGTATATACACACTAGCAAAACAAGAACATTATAAGTATCTAACAATGTGCATTATAAGCAATTTAAATAAAATAGGCAACAACTGTATATTCTAACCAAATCTATTACTCTGCTTTTATAATTCATGTTTCTACCAGCAGATAGGGACTTTGCAGAGAGGTGAAGAAGGACTTAACAGATATATTCTAAAAACTAGCCAAATGTTCATTAGACTCTTTGTATCTAGAAGAAAGACACGGGTTCATGAATCCATCCAGTTCTCTTTCCCCTGGCAAGAGTCCTGAAACATCTAACAGCTTAAGTTTATCTTGCATCTCAGGAGTGCCGTACCCAAGGAGATATTTATTGAGGTTAGGTCCCATTCACAGGAGCAGGAGTGCTGTTCTAAGAAGCCAAGCCTCCAGGCTTGCTGGTCAGCATCCTCCAACACTCCAACAGAAGCCTTGCAAACCCAAGGCAGGAATACAACTTTCCAAAATATACCCATCCAAACTGAAGAAGTTTACTTGCTTTAGAAATGTAATGGGGCGCCTGGGTGGCGCAGTCGGTTAAGCGTCCGACTTCAGCCAGGTCACGATCTCGCGGTCCGTGAGTTCGAGCCCCGCGTCGGGCTCTGGGCTGATGGCTCAGAGCCTGGAGCCTGTTTCCGATTCTGTGTCTCCCTCTCTCTCTGCCCCTCCCCCGTTCATGCTCTGTCTCTCTCTGTCCCAAAAATAAATAAAAAACGTTGAAAAAAAAATTAAAAAAAAAAAAGAAATGTATTGAGGTAACTGAACTACTGCATGTGGCTCTGTGTCAATCTCAAAAACATCACAGACTGGGGAAAAAACAGCTGAAGTGATGAAAGTCATGTAAAATGACAGAATCACTGGAGTGATTTCTAAAGAGCAGGGGGAGCAAAAGTAAGTTTGGTTTGGTTTCCTTCTAAGGTAAGGTCTGTGTCATGAGGACAGATTGTCAGAGTAACAGTATTTTACTAGTCGACTCCTAATTTCCAGAAATGAGCTACTGATAATTGTCATCATTTTGTTATCATGAAGAAGAGAGACATTTGTAAGCAACCAGATTTAACTGTTCCACATCAGTGAAAGCATTACATTTGTGGGTGTTGATATGTGTTTATCTGCATAAATATCTTCTCTTTCTAGAAATATGATCAATACAATGAATACATACCTTCCAGAAGCTCAATTTGCTGATGAACCAGTATCTGATCTATCTATTATAGTAAAAAAAAAAAAAAAAAAAAATCTGTAAGTATATTTCCATGTTTTCTATGCCAACTAAATTAACAATAGTGTTTTTATATTTTAAGAAATGCACATAACTTATCAATATTTATCAATATTTAATAATATAACTTTATACCTAAAAAATATAAAATTAAAGTCAATATACCTTTAATTGAAAATCTATTGAATGTGTTCACTATTAATGTGGGTAAATCCAGGTCAAATAAAACTGACTTACTCTGGAATCCCTCTAAAAATTAAAAAAAAAAAAAGTTCCTTCTTGAAAAGGCTTAAGAGATATTAAGATTCTTTATTCATTTAAAGAGCTTCTGTCCAAATCTAAAAAAAATTTAGAAGTGTGCTTGATATCCTTTGGAGCAGGTAATAATTTCCTCTATATATTTTGTAAGGCCTTGATTTAAAAAAAAATATTTAAGGTATTTCTTGGAAAATGTATGAACTACTAAGAGTTCTTATAATACTTGCTGCCCAAGTGCATTGTGGGAAACTAAATTAGTACAGACAGTACAAGAGAGATAATTCATTCACTGAAAACTGGATGGTTACCACAGGGGTATTTGTTTATAGATTAGACATATAGAATTTCATATTCCTATTCTACCTACCAGATTTCTAACACTAAACAAATACTAGCCCTCACATCGCTGGGATATGGTATCATGCAGTACATTATAATCCAGGATTTTTCCCCCTTACTGATGGCATTAATAAAATTGGTTCTTTCAAAGCACAAAGCATCATAAAATACACTTTCATTAATTATAATAAAAAAGTGACTCATGTTATACACAAAATATGAACTTTTTTTTTTTTTTTTGGTACCACTATTGACACTCAACACTAAATTTAGTTTAATGTTTCTTTCCACCTCCTTGGATGTTATTTGGTGTTGGGATTAAAGAGAGTGAAATCCAGAACCAAGATTACAGTAGCAAAAAGTCACTCCCTCTTCCTTAGTGTTTTGACTCTGAGCAAATTATATAATTTCTCTGGACCTCAGGTTCCTCTTCTGTAAAATGATGGTAATTAATAGTACCTATATTATAGGTTTCTAAAAGGATTAAATAAGTTAATACATATGTTACACTTAGGGACAAAGTCTGGAAAATAGTGCTTAGTAAAGGTTTGCTATTGGTCATTACCATGGATTATATTCAAGATCATAGAAAACACAATTTCCTAAGACATTTGTACTTTGCTTTAAAAGTTAACTTGACCTAGAAGAATTATAGTAATTTGTTAGGGAAGAATGTTTTGCCATTTCAGACTTTTGTGAATTAGTCATTTGTTAATTTCATTAAGTAAACTATAAGCACAGTTTTATTAAAAAATAAAATGAGTGTTTCATTTATTTGAAATTACCTGACTTAAATATTCCAATCCGGGTGGACAGCCTGATGGAGGTGGTGGTGCTGGCATCCATGGTATCCCTGCAGGTCCACCTGGCTGATTATACACAGGCTGGTGTTGGACAGGAAACCCTACTGGGCCAGCACCTGAATAACCAGCTGGTGGAATTGAGTAGCCAGACTGGGGACCAGGAAAGCCAGCCTGGGGGCCACGATAGCCAACCTGGGGGCCAGGATAGCCAACCTGGGGGCCAGGATAGCCAACCTGGGGGCCAGGGTAGCCAACCTGGGGGCCAGGGTAGCCAGTATGTCCTGGAGGTCCTAAAATAAAAACAAGTGAAAAAATTTGTAACTGCACAGAAAAATGGAAATATGAACTCTTTTGGGATTACTCCTAAAACTCTACAAACTCAAATTGCAGCTCAGATATCTTGTTTCTACGAAGCTTAAACTCTGTGTTTTTATCTTTTAGTGATTTTTCAATGAAGTATCTGTAGTTTCATATCCACTCTTATAGGGTTTGGGGCTGTGAACAGAGTTGGCCCAAGACTTACCCACCATTCAAATCTCAGTTGCAAAGATACTTGAAACCTAAGAAAGTGACAGAAAATCAACAATGGTCTAGAGTCACCTTTATAAGGATTATGGAATGCCTTAAGAGAAACAAAAGATGGCAAGAAAGAGTAAAAGGCCCAAAATAAAGGCTTTGAGTCAGCATTTCTAAAACCAAAGCACTCTATTTTTTTAAAAAAAAGATTAATTTATTTAAAAAAAATGATTGTTAGAAATGGTACCTCCTTTATGTACAGAACTGGGGGTGGTTTTGCCCCCTCAAGGAATTTTTGGCAAGCTCTGGAGACATTTTTGGCTGTTTATAGCTGGAGGGAAGAGTGATACTGGCATTTGGTAGATAGAGGCCAGGGAAGCTGGTAAATATTTCCTAAAATGCCAGAATAGTATCCTGAAAAAGAAGAATTATCCATCTGAAAATATTAGAGTGCTGCTCTTGAGAAACTCTGGCGTAGAGGTAAAGACGCATCCTTACTTCCAGAACTGTCCAGATGCTTATCTGGGTTAACAATTTGCCTGAACTTTTACTCCATGGTGCATTCCTATCCTAAGACTTCCTACATGAAAAGCAAAAAAGAAAAAAGAAATCATTATTGATAGTTAGGTTACAAATTTAAATTTCATAATTTACCACTCTCAGCACTCTGGAAAATACAGTTGGAGAACCAAGGAAGATAAAAAGTTACAACAGGCAAACTTGCCTTGAGTATTTAATAAGCACAGGAGAAGAACAAATTTACTAAGTGTATACTCTGTATTCTATGTGAATTTGTAATTACAATGAAGCTTCATAAGCTTATATGAATAGTCCACAGAGTAGTAATCCATAGCAATGGAATACAATTTCAAAGGAATGTGTTCCATAATATTTTAACAGAAAAGGCTACGTAAAATTTAATGCTTAGATTATACAACTTATAAATACTTTAAAAAAAGACACTGATGGCAAAATACATCCACTATTAAAAAGATTTCTGGGGCACCTAGGTGACTCAGTCGGTTGAGCGTCCGACTTCGGCTCAGGTTGTGATCTCACGATTCGTGAGTTCGAGCCCCGCGTCGGGCTCTGTGCTGCTAGCTCAGGGCCTGGAGCCTGCTTTGGATTTTGTGTCTCCCTCTCTCTCTGTTCTTCCCCTGCTTGCACTCTGTCTCTCTCTCAAAAAGTGAATAAAGATTTTTAAAACATTAAAAAAAATGGTTTCTTAGGAGATTAAACCTCCTACTAGTATCTTTTAAATATAGTTTTTATAATTCATTCATTCTCACAACAAATAAATATTTACAGATGTTCTATAATGTGGGTGGCTCTGTTCTAGAATCAGAGGATTCAGTTCTCAACAAGGCAACCTGCCCTCAGGGAGTTTACAGGCTACTTTTGGGAGAGAGGAAATAAATTTTTTAAAAAAGATTTCAGATTGAACTCACAGAGAAAATGCATGGTGGAGAGGGAAAGTTATCAACCAGGTACTTCAGATAGAAAAAAATTCTGTTGAGATCTAAGATATGAGAAAGGTAAAGCTTTGTGTAAAGAGCTGGTAAGAAATGTTGCGGGAGGAAGGAAAACCAAATGCAAAAATCCCTGATTTCAGGAATGAATTTGGCATGTTTGAGGCAGAGAGAAACATCGTAAGGGAGAGGAAGAGTGGAAACTGTTGTCAGTGAAAACGTAGAAACAGTTCATCTAGGGAGCCCATTAATAAGGAGCTTAGATTTGATTCCAAGTGTGATCGACAGGCCTTTGAGGATTTTAAGCAGACAAGTGAGTTCCATAATCTGATTTATATCTTACAAAGTTGGTGGGAGTGCTGAGCACTGGGATTTAAAATAAGAAATGCAGATGCCCTCACTGCCTAATGGGGAAGATAACTTCATATTTTATCCTTTACTCTAGGGATCTACAACACCAGTATGATCAATTGATTAACTAGAATTGAAGACAAGCTCTTTGAAAGGAGGGACCAGATTTTTATGACTATATGCCAAAGGAAAGTGATGGGATGGGGAGAGAGAAAAGGGAGGAGTTGGGACAGTTTCCTTGAGGGCTGCCTTTGAGCTGAGATCTAAAGGATACAAAGGAGTAGAGAAGACCAGGGGCACAGAGAAAAACGTTCCACAGACAAGCCCTGGGATAGTAACACATACAGGGTTCCTAATAATCTGTAAAAAGCCAAGTCGACTTGAATAGCAGAGAGCCAGGCTTAATAGTCAGGTAAAGAGAAGGCAGGGGAGGCCCTGTCTGGTGAACCAAATTAAGCCTTTTGGCCTTTATCCTAAAAGCAATGAAAAACCAATGATGTACACACTGAATACTGTCTGTAATATGGACAGATAGGCATTTTTAAAGATCACTGGCTACAGTGCAAAGATCAGACCACAGGCAAGCCAATGAGGAGGACATGTGAGCTCACATTAGCATTATTTTAATCTTCTCAAGACCCTTGGAGAGAGAGGATAGTTGATTATTTCCGAAATAACGGATTAAACATACAGAATTACCTGAAATTTGGATATTTTCATTTGTATAAGGTCTAACTGATTTAACAGATTATTAACATAATTGCAAATATCTGTCACTCAGTATTTGTAAATCATTATACCAGGCGCTTTACGTATACTCTCATTTAATCTCCAAGCTAACCTGAATGAGAAAATGTTATTCCTGTTTTATAGCTAAGAACTGAGACTTGCAGGTATAACGAGTTGTATGAACCACCACACAGCCATTTAGCGCAGAAGCCAGAACTTGAAACCTGATACAGCCTCTCTTTGCCTTTTTCCACTTGCACACTGGGTACATGATGCTATGTACCTCCTAAAATTGACAGTTAAATGAGTTTATTCACATTATGCACAGTAAGCTCTCAATTTTAAACTGTCACTATTTTTAGCATCATTGTCATATTAAGACCTGCACTATATATGGCCTTGGACTTGTGAAATAAAATTAGGCTATTTTTCTCACAAACTCTCAAGTCTGATTATAACTGAATTTAATTATGTATCACCTCATTTTAACTGGCTGTGGGGTGGATTAAATCATTCTCCAAGTGCCCTGGATGAATATTCGAGCTTGCTAATAATTCATCAAACAACCACCATATAAGAATTTACGACAGCGGTTCTCAGCCCTGGTTGCACATTACAACTAACTGGGTAATTAAAAAAATTACCAATCCCTGGGTCCCGTGACCTGAGCTTCTGCTTTAATTCTCCCGGGATAGTGCCCTGGTACAGTGTTTTAAAATCTTCCACGTAATACTTAAGGGCAGGCACCCTTGAGAACTATCTCCTTAGAGATATTCTAGCTCAGATTCTTCTAACTGCAAACACCTGGATGTGATCCAGGCCCCGCTGGGAAGTTTCTTGGCTACACAATTAAACAGGCCATTGAGTTCCCAAGCAGAGTTATTCACTCAGAGTAGAATACAAAATGGATACACCCATCTACCCAAACCGGATACCTTTTGATCCTAAATCTCCAGAGTGGTCTCTCAGTCTCTCAAGAAGGAAGTAGCCTGACTACTTGCAAATCTGGGTACACCATCAATTTTGCCATGTAGTGAAGTTCTAGTAATTTTGATAACTGCATTTGTCTACATGAAAATCTCTGAGGTCTTTCAATAACTGGTTCAAAGGGAAAAATGTACTCCCTAGAATGTAGTGATAGGACTCGATTACTTTTCTTAGATATAAGGCATGATTAAGCATGCGTACAAAAAGCAAAGCTTTCATATATGTTACAAAGTGAAAATGAGAATGACCCCCAAGCAGCTACACTTTTATTACCTACAGCTTCCAGTTTTAAGCACTCACGTCTTTTCTGTGACTCTCACTGTACACGATTACCCTCAGCTAATATAGGACTCAAAAATACCCAGGGATAAATCTAAATGTGATTATGTGATGACAATTTTCAGAACAGATGAAGGATCAATTAAATCTTTTACTTCTAATGTATATTTTGGTGCAAACTTTATTTTATTTGTTACATGTAAATGGACTGTTTTTGTTAACTCTATATCTTTACTATCCTGCATAAGTAAACATTACTTTTATGATATTATTTATGCTAATATATAGTCAGAAAAAAAATGAAGAACTAGGCTGCCAATTTCATCATTACACTTTTAATAAAAGACACTACTAAAATACACAAACAAAGGCAGACACACACCCATACATATGCCCTTTGGGGAATATCAGTAATTGAATAATTTTGGATTTTTTTTCTTAGACAAATGTTTTACCTTGGAGTGTTGCTGAAGGATATTGAGGGGGATAGTCAGGTGGTAAATTCGTTCCTGGGTGAGGAGCATTCATTTGTCCGTCTGCAATTTAGGGAAAGGTAAACATATATTTGCTTTAATGAAATATATATTAGAAAAAAATAAGGGGCGCCTGGGTGGCTCAGTCGGTTGAGCGGCCGACTTTGGCTCAAGTCACGATCTCGCGGTCCGTGAGTTCGAGCCCCACATTGGGCTCTGTGCTGACAGCTTGGAGCCCGGAGCCTGTTTCAGATTCTGTGTCTCCCTCTCTCTCTGACCCTCCCCCCGTTCATGCTCTGTCTCTGTACCAAAAATAAATAAATGTTAAAAAAAAAATTTAAAAAAAAAGAAAAAATATGTATTAGAAAGAAAAATAAATTGTCCTTAGATAATTTCCATTGATATGATCTTTATATGATCTTGTGCTGTACTAAAATAAAGTGATTTCTTCACTTAACAAAAGCTGTTATCAGACTTAATTGGCAGGAGCATCGGTTTCAAACAAATTCCTCTTTGAATAAAAAGAGACAGCTGAGTTACCGGGGCTGAACTTCTAGCTTTCAAACATGTCTGATGAGTGTTCCATATTTGGAAGTGTTCCAAGTGTTAACACCTAATTCCATGTTGGTATTAGGGGAAAAAAGTGTTTTAGAACCACATACAGACTGTAAAGGAAGAGAGAGAGAAATGAAACTACTTGGATATAGGGATGATGATGGAAATAGTATGATGATTTTTAAAGATACGTAGTTATTGCTGTACCAATTAGCCTTTTCCTTTTATCTTTGAGAGAGAGAGCACATGCGCATGCGTGCAACCAGGGGAGGGGCAGGGGCAGGAGGAGAGGGAGACCAAGAATATTAAGCAGGCACAACATCCAGCGCAGAGCCCAACATGGGGGTTCGACCTTACAACTATGAGATCATCACCTGAGCTGAAATCGAGAGTTGGACACTTAACTGACTGAGCCATCCAGGGGTCCCAAAGAATTATTTTCAAAATATTTAAAATAGTGCATATATTTCAACATTGAATATCGTTTTTATGCTTACTCTGCAATTACCCAATAAGGTTGAATTCCCAATAAGGAATTCAAGAATATCCAATACCAATAAGAATACCCAATAAGGAACTTCCTAGTATCTGACTGGTTTTGCCCAATAAAATCATAACTGACTGAATAACAATAAAATACCACATTAAACGTTGAATATTCTTAATATACGTACAAATGGTTGAACCTCCTAGTCCTTCATATTTGTGTTTCCTAGTCACTCATTTAGCAGCCGCCCCAGCCAGACAATAAATACTTGTTGGCCATCTCCTGTATTGCCTCTGAGCTAAGCTCTGAGGATATCCTGGCCCTGTCTTCATAGAACTTAAGGTTAGTGGACACTACATTTGTCCCATGTCCTCCTCTGGCCCATTATGGCGTGCTAACTATAAACCCAAAATAGTTTCTTATTGAATGATGAGCACATGGCATCAATACAGAAGAAAAAGTTAGTCAAACTTTCCATCTGGTACATTGTCTACACACTTCTTTATCATAGGCCTTCAAAGACTACTCAACTCATGTGGTTTCAGCGGGAAAGCTGGGTCGTGAGCCAGCCTTCTCCTTCACGCAATCAACTTCATGATAACTTCAGCAGACTGGAGTCCACAGGGCTGGTGCATATTCCGGTAGCAGAACCTTCTACTTCCATCAGGGCTTTTCCCTAAACGGTTGCCGCAACGTACCCTGACTGATTGCAGATCTCTCAAATACCACAAAAGTCATTCCATCCCGACCATTCCCTTGTTTGTTGGCTTCAAGTGAGTGGCCGAGTTCCTAGTTCTCCAGCTCTCAAGGCTTTGCCCACCGCTGCCACTCCCCACCTGAGCTGGAAACAACCGGATCACGCGTAACAGATCTCAAGGAAAACACTGCAAGTCTGACTAACATACCTACTCTTAAATGATAGGTCACATTTTGGCACCTCTAGGTACCAGTGTTTGAACAATAGTAAATACATATACATATCTAGGAGCTGACAGATTCAAGAAATTAGAAGCTCATAATCTCTGGGGTTTTGGTTCCAGAGTGTTAATCCTGGCTTTAGGAATTTCAGCAGGAATTCATACAGAGGGAAAATAAGCAAATAAGCAAGTGGTCAAATATACCAAAGATCATATGAATTATGAATGGGTTTCTGCATTTGTGAAATGGAACTTAAAATAATTTATAGATACCATAGGACTGTCACATTAATATAAAGATATTTTATTTTTACTTCTATATGTATTTATATACATGTATACATTTAATTCCTATTTATGCACATACACACAGATATACAAACAATTATGCATATGAAGATGAAGAGTTAAAAGGTGACTATGACCGTGGCAAAAAGAATCTTTCTATGGTGATCTGAAGCATCCTAATGCTTGTAGCAGATAGAAAGTGTAATACTGTATCAATTTACATTTAAGAAGCCTTGAGTTTTGTAAGTAAAATTAAATTCATATAGCAAACATTAAGAGATCATGAAGCTTCATGAAGGAAAGCTGAGGTTTCTAGTCCTAAAGAGTATCTAATACAGCTAGTAAGGCTGACATTATGGTGAGAGATAAACATGTCTTCAGTATCTAAACAAAAGTAAACAGATAATGTAAATCTTCTCATAAAACAGGATTTTTTTTTCATATTTTCCCCCATATGCATTGCTTTTCTCTTCAGAACTTTAGATTAAAAAAAACAAAAACAAAGTCTTTTATTATATGCTTGGTCGATATCCATCTTATTTAGAATTTTCTTGATAGGAAAAAAGCCAGAACGTAATCATTGGTATTTATTAAACCTGTTCATGTGTGGATGTTATGAAATATATAGCAGGGATATATCCAAAGATTTTGTTACAATGATCTGACATATTAAATTTCTTATCTGGTTAGGGGCGCCTGGGTGGCGCAGTCGGTTAAGCGTCCGACTTCAGCCAGGTCACGATCTCGCGGTCCGGGAGTTCGAGCCCCGCGTCAGGCTCTGGGCTGATGGCTCAGAGCCTGGAGCCTGTTTCCGATTCTGTGTCTCCCTCTCTCTCTGCCCCTCCCCCGTTCATGCTCTGTCTCTCTCTGTCGCAAAAATAAATAAACGTTGAAAAAAAAAATTTTTAATTTCTTATCTGGTTAATTTGAGTTGAATGATGTTTATGTATATAAAATGCACACAAAAAGGGGAAAACTGACCTAAATGGAATATAGTATAAATTATATAACATATTTCCCAGTAAGACTAAAATTCCTTAGGCTTACCTAAGGTTTTATTTTTACAGGAAAAACTAGCAGTAGTGGATATAGGTGTACATTGTCTTTACAGTAAAAAAAAAAAAATGACCTAGACTTCGGGTTCTGGAGCATAAACAAAGTAAATTACATCCTTTCAGAAACTGAATACAACATCATATAAGACAAAGAACATATTAACAACAGATTTAACATTATAAAAGGAAGTCAACACTTAAATTACTTACTTTGCTTTTCCATGATTTATAGAGTTCTGAAAAAGAAGACCTGATATTACTATATTGTCTACAAATTTATAGGTCAAATATGACTGTTGTAACAAGATACTATGAAACTATACGTACACATAGGATATTCCTCTATTCATCTAGTCTACCAGAATCTGGTTATTTAAACCCTTTGGTCTTGACCCCATCCCCTGTTGATGTGATTCTGAGTATGACTTAAGAAGTTGTGAGTCACCCCAGGATGGTGGATGTTTTCCACAAACCTTTGCGGGGAGAAGGTCCTATAAGGCAGAAAGCTGAGAGGAAAACATTGTAAGCCTAAGACCCCACCTTGTAACCAAGTCAAAAACTGAAGCCTTCCAGTCTACACAAAGGAGGCTGGGCTCTAATTTCACCAGGACAGACAGACGGGTTAGCTATCAGACCACACTAATGCAAATATCTCTGGATTCCAGATTCTATGGATAAGTTCTGCCCATCTTGAACAGCAAATTTGAAAAGGCCTGATTCTTTGTTATGTTACAAGATATACTTTTAGCCAGAAAATCCACCCTCAGGGGTTGTCATAGTTGTAGCACCGTCACAATCCAACCAAAACTTTGTGTTAGGTTATTTCTATACAAAATAATAATTAAAAAACCCCAAAAAACCATTGTACTCGGCACTTCTGATGAGGTTTTGGGGTGACAGTGGGGTTTGTGGGATCCGGAAGTGACAGCCAAGAAAGAATTCTTGGAGATGTTTTTGGTGCAAAAAGGTGATTTTATTAAATAAAGCATGGGGACAGGACCTGTGGGCAGGAAGAGCTGCCCTGGGACTTTGAGGAGAGACTGGCTATATAATAGGGAGTTGGGGGGGTGGTAAAGTCCAGGGAAAGTTTCCAGTTGAGATTTGCATATGCTAAAGAAGACTCCCAGGATACTGGAGGCCTAACTGTTGTCAAGCTAAGGTTGTTTTCCCTCTAGCAAAGCATTAGCATTAAGACAGTAGGGACTTCCTGAAGAAACAGTTTACTCGGCCAGACTCAAGTATTTGCTAATGGGCTGCAGGTTACAAGGAAATTTAGTTCTATCTGCCATTTCCTTCTGTTTTTGTCTTCCACAGCACTATGGAGGGGTGATGCTGAGGCTCCAGGAAACGAGGTCCATCGGTTTCTGGAGATTGGGCTATTGATATTTGTAAAATATTTGTAAATAGTAGGGAGACTCAGGTACTGGGCACAATGATCTCTATCAGTTAACCATTTCTTTTTCCCCTTTCCTTTGTTCTTGGGCAGCCAGGAGTGCCTGAGGAGTATCACATGGATTCCCCCCGGGGTGGGGGTGGGTTGCAGCCTGTCAGTTTGCCTTAGGCTCCCTCACCACTTCTGCCTTCCAGTTCCTTGTTTCTTTTCCCCCTGATCTCTCCACTTTAAATCCCAACCCCCTTGATGCCTGTTAATTGCAATTAACTCATAAGGCAAAACCTCTCGCCCAGAGATCCCAGGAAGTGAAACTGAACAGACTCTAAAGCAGAGCTTATTTGTCCCTATTTGCTCTTTTCTTTCCAATTTGGTTACATTATTTTGAATCTTAAAATGGCACGTGTGAGAATAAGTCCCTAATGGCAAAACTACTGCAGAACATAATCTGGGTCCTCTCTTTGCTGTAGGTTTTAAAATTTTTGCAGTTAAATAATATCTCAAGCACAAAATGTGGCATGTCATAAGTTCTGGTACAAAATGTTAAGTGACAGTTGTAGTCACCTGTGTGCCAGGTAGAATAAAGCACTTGTGGAATAAAGATGATACCACAACACCCTGTCCGCTCCTGTTTGCTGTTTTGAAGATCTTTTGATTTTCTCAAACTTAAGGGTCTATTAACAAGAGGTAATGTCACTCAGTTTTGGAAATGACTAGGCTGAGTCCTGGGTGATTTCATTAATTAATTAACATGATAACTTTTAAATAATGTTTTCCACTACTCTTTTTGTTTTAAATTTATTTTAAGTAGGCTCCACACCCAATGTGGGGCTTGAACTCACAACCCTGAGATCAAGAGTCACAGGCTCTACCAACTGAGCCAGCCAGGTATACCCCTGCCTTCCACTACTCTTAATAAGAAACAAATCCTAGAAAATTTTCCAAGAAAAAGAACATCATATTCATCCTGTACTAAAAAAAAAGTCTCTAAGAAAGTCATATATGTTGTACCACTGGAATCTTAATTACTTCAAGACAAATATATAGTTTCAAATTATAATCTGATTACTATACACTCATCCCTAACTCTGCTAAATGAGAGTTTCTGAGATTTAACACATCATATACTATATACAAGTAAGTACATCTCTGGTAAAAATTATTCTATTAGACACCATAAGACCTGATGCAATTTGAAGTGGGGTTCATACGCAAATGGCTAAGAAAGAATTCCTGAGACATGTTTGGTTCAAAAATATGATGTTATTAAAGCACAGGGTCAGAACCTGTGGGCAGAAGAGCTGCTCTGCGACTGTGAGGGGTGAGTGATAATGTATTTCAAGGTTTGTGGAGGAGGGGACATAAAGTTAGTTTCTAAGAAATTTCTGTATGCTGAAAGCAAGGTCTTACAGGACGAAGATTTAGCTACTGTCAAGATAAGGTTGCTTCTAGTTTTTAATGGAATGTAAACATGAAGGCCTTAAGGCAGCCGTAAATTCCTACGGAATGTTACAGACTGCAGGTCTCTGGTATCACTGGGCTTCAAGCTGTAAGGGGATTTAATTTAAACTACATTTTTTTGCCTTTGTTTTCCTCATCAAGACCCATTGCTGCTCTGGGCTATTTGAAAATGATAAATCTCTTCCATCAGGCATAAGGAGAAATGATGCCGGTGACATTAGTCATGGTTCCACAGTTCACAGGACAGTGACATTCTTGACCCATGTATCTCTTGGGGTCCTGGAATTTCTATCTTATTGCTTTCCAAAAAAGTTATTGATGTAAAATCTGGAACCCAAGGGAAGCATCCATAATTTTGGAAGTTCCTAAGACTCCTATGCCTATATACTAGGCATAAACTAGATTTGGATCCTTTATCCACATTTACTTCTTAATTAAGAACAAACCACTTAAATATTTTTCTGAGTCCCAAGAGGCAGACGCATGTTCTTAATTATTTTAGGAAAACGTTACTGCTCTAATGACAATGGTAGAAATCTATATCCCTAAACTTCCTTTGAATCTGAGAGCCAAAGGTAGTCTAAAATCCACCAGGCCATGGGTTGGGGGGTTGAGACAGGTAGTTAGGCATTATACACAGAGGGAACTGTACAAGTCCTGTGGCTACAGGGAGCTTGACTCATTCAAGGAAATGAAAGACTTGTGGATTATTAAAAAAAAAAAAAAAAAAAAAAAAAAAAAAAAAAAAAGATAATCAGACATGACAATAGAGAGGTATATGGGACACAGTTCGTACCCATTTAATGTCTCTCTACCTGCATTCTATGCTCTCAAAGACCAGAATATGGCCTGTCTTGTCCAGGACAAGAGACTTAACTGCTGCTTGTTGACTGAACAATATGTGCACAGTATGATTTCACTCCTTTTGTTCATAAAGAACAGCTCCCTTACTAATGGGAAGGCTGCTGAATCTCTGACCCAGCCACTTATTTTACATGCCACTTTTCGGCTTTTTTTAATATATTAAATATAATTTATTATCAAATTGGTTTCCATACAACACCCAGTGCTCATCCCAACAGGTGCCCTCCTCAATGCCCATCACTCACTTTCCCCTCTCCCTCACCCCTCATCAACCCTCAGTTTGTTCTCAGTATTTAAGAGTCTCTTATGGTTTGCCTCCCTCCCTCTCCATAAGGTTTTTTTCCCCTTCCCCTCCCCCGTGGTCTTCTGTTAAGTTTCTCAGGATCCACATATGAGCGAAAACATCTGGTATCTGTCTTTCTCTGCCTTATTTCACTTAGCATAACACCCTCTAGTTCCATCCACGTTGCTGCAAATGGCCAGATTTCATTCTTTCTCATTGCCAAGTAGTATTCCATTGTATACATAAACCACATCTTCTTTATCCATTCCTCAGTTGATGGACATTTAAGCTCTTTCTATAATTCGGCTATTGTTGAAAGTGTATAAACATTGTGGTACAAGTGCCCCTATGCATCAGCACTCCTGTATCCCTTGGGTAAATTCCTAGCAGTGCTATGGCTGGGTCATGGGTAGATCTATTTTTAATTTTTTTAGGAACCTCCACACTGTTTCCCAGAGCATACATGCCACTTTTTGTATCCACTGCAGAAATCCACTCGTTTCCCTTTTCATTTTAAAAAAGGGAAAGATGAGTAAACCGTATTTCTCAAATTGCTCAACTAGGAGAAACAATGCTCGCCAGTTCCTGGAACTGAGAAGCGGCCATTCCAAGATTTACTGGAATAACCCTAGAAATAAAACCATGTGGGAACCAGATTCATGAGTTGAGAAGCAGGGATTCTGTCAAGTATCAAAAATAATAAAAGCTAACCTTACCGAGTACTCTTGGGGCTAGCACAGCTCCCACAGCTTTACACTAATACACGCCATACTGTAACTCTTGTAACTCTTTTTTGACCATCGCACAATTTCAGAGATGAGGCCAGGAAAGCACAAGGATGAAGAAACTGGTTCAGAGTCCACAGCAATTAAGTAGTAGAGGTAGGATTCAAATCAGGCAGGTGGACTCCTGAACTAACTAATGGTCTTAGCTTCTATGCTATAAACCAGCTCTATCTTTCCAATTCGTCTGTTCCAGAGGGACTAGCACAGGTTTAGGGTACACCGTACTCCTAACGAATACATACTGTTCTATGACAGCTACGAGGCCCCACTAATCATCTCTTCTAATCCTCCCAGCGCGACAGCGGACACCCACAGTCCTGGTTCTTGCCGGGTTCTTCAGCGCGGCCAAGAGGGGGGCAGTGGTAGTAAAGGGGCGCTGAGCACGCAAGGCAGTTTCGGGCAAGAAACACCTTACCAGTGGTGCCGAGTGGTGGGGCCTG